CGGGATATGGGTGCTGCCCAATCCCAAATCCCAATCCCAAATCCCAAATCCCGTCGGGGTCACCGGGCGCAGGGCGGGCACTGCACCCCGCGGGACACGGGCGCCGCCCGGCCCAGCCGCGCCAGCGCCCGCAGCAGCCCCATCTGCTGCCGGATGGAGTGGTCCAGGTTGACGGTGACGCCGAGCAGCTGCCGCGCCTCGTCGGCGCCGAAGGGGAAATCCCGCGCCAGGAATGCCTGGAAGAGGCCGGGGTCGCCGTCCAGGCTCAGCACCTTGCCCAGCGGCTGCCGCAGCGCGCTCAGCTCGCCCGCGTGCTCCTCGAAGATGCTCCACAAGGATCTCCCCGCCGCCGGCGTCGACGCCGCGGCGGCGGCGCTCGGCCCGGCGTCCTCCAGGCAGCGCAGCGTCCAGCTGAGGCGGCAGGGCCAGCGGTCGGCCAGCACCACCCAGGCGGCGGCGGCGCGGGGCGACAGCGGCGCGGCGCCGCCGGCGCGGTGCAGCAGCAGCCGCAGCGTGATGGGGATGGTGTTGACGATGCGCCGGACGTTGGCGCCGTTCTCCGGCAGGTACCGGCACAAGACGTCGGTGCCGTCGTGGAGGCACCGGAACGCCTCGTGGATCCACACCACCGCCTCCGAATCGGCCTCCTTCCAACCGGGAGAGGCCGGCGCCGCGGCCGGGAGGGCGCCGGCGCCGCGGTTGGTCTTGGCGGCGTTGCCGGCGATGATGAGCGCCATGAGGTCCTCGCGCGTGCGGATGGCGGCGGCCACGCTGCGCAGGCGGGAGCGGGCGCCCATCTCGGGGATGGAGAAGGGCAGCGTGACGGCGCGGTTCAGGTAGAGGTAGCCGTTGTCCGCCAGCCCCTTCATGCAGCCCGCCTGCTCCAGGCACGGCACGATGACGCTGGGGTCCACGGCCAGCAGGAAGATGAAGGGCGCGTTGGCGTCCGACAGCAGCGTGGCCATGGCGTTGAACACGCCGGCCACCTTCTCCGGGTAGCAGAGGTGCAGGCTGGTGATCTCCATCACCACGCGCAGCCGCCGGCGCTCGAAGACCTCCATGAAGGCCAAATAATCCACCAGGACCTCCACCTCGGCGCGGATCTTGCTCATGAAGCCCAGCTGCCCGGCGAACCTGTCGCTGTTGGTCAGGCGCTCGATCTTCTTCTTCTCGCTCACCAGGAAGTTCTTGAGGATGGACAAGGCGCCCAACACCAGCGAGGAGCCCGACAGCGACGCCACGGCGCCGCCCACCACCTTGAGGGCGCGGTGGTCCTTGACGCCCGGCACCAGCAGGGCCACCAGGAGGACGGCGACGCCGACGGCCAGCACCAGGAGCAGCCCGCCGAGCCGCAGGCAGGCCCCTCGCTTGAGCACCCACTCGCGCCGCGACGCGCCGGCGGCGAAGCGCGGCCGCGAGCCCAGCACGTGGAAGACGCTGAGCGGCAGCGCGCCGAAGTGGCGCCGCACGCGGTGGCACAGCGTGGTCACCAGCCCGGCCCAGAGCTTGTCGCAGCCGGCGAACTCCCAGGCGCTGAAGCGGATGAAGATGAACTCCAGGTTCTTCCTCCGCAGGTGGCCCTCGGTCACCACGGGCTGGTAGAAGGCCAGCAGCCACAGGGCCGCCAGCAGCCCCCAGCCGTGCGGGCTGCGCGGCCGCCGCCCGCCCCGGCGCAGCTCGGCCGCCTCGCGCTGCGCCATCTCCTCCCGCATGAAGGCTGCCCGAGGGAGGCGGCGTTGGCACGGGGGGGTTTGGGGGGGTTGGG